TCACCCAACGGGTGTCAGCTTCAGCTGGGTGTGTGTGACCCAGAATGGAAGAGCTGTGCCCTCGCTGGGTCTGCACCCTGGGAGTGTCGCCTGAGGCGGGTGAGGGATTTCTGAGTAACAGGAGGGCCGGTCGGGCTCAGGGATGGACCTGAAGTGCCGTGTGGGTTTCCTGGGGTGGCGCGTTGCTGAGGGTCCGGTGGAGTCTCCATGGTGACTTTTCGAAGGTAATTATCTCTGCTTTCTTGATCCCGGGCCCCAGACGCAATTAGGCAGCTTTCGTGGAATTAGCTCTTGCAAAATGCCTCTGAGCCCTTCGTGATCTGGGACTTGGCAGCTGAGTTTCCCAGCATGGGATTGCTCTAATCCCTCCCCCTTCCTGCCTCAGTGATGCCCCGAATGCCCTGCCGTGGGCTGCCCGGTGTGGCGACTCCCTGAACACTACTTTGTAATGAGCAGGGGAGGCCACCCAGGATTCTCTTTGCCAGCGCAAAGCAGGCTGCTGCCTGAGCCACACTCCCAGCCTGTGCCGGCCCAGGGTGGAAGGGATCCACACCCCGTTTATAAAGTAAATAAAGGCCAAAGGGGGTTGTGGCTGGAGCTGCCAATAGGCACCCATGTGCCAGCGTTGGAATTGGCTGATCTGACGTGGCCCAGGTGCTGCATTGTTTGATGGCAGCTCCAGCTGACCCCATTGGCTCTCCATCCTCCCTAGCCAAACCATCATGATCGCCTGCATCAGCCCCTCTGACTGGGACTTCATGGAGACCTTAAACACGCTCAAGTACGCCAACCGGGCTCGCAACATCAAGAACAAGGTGGTGGTGAACCAGGACAAAACCAGCCAGCAGATCAGCGCCCTGCGGGCCGAGATCGCCGGCCTCCAGATGGAGCTCGTGGAGTACAAGGCGGTAAGGGGCGGCTGAGCAGGTGAAGCCTCGTGTGTGTACGGCCCACTCGGGTCACCAGCGAGGATCGAACCCAGGACCTTCCACGCCGGCCCCTGCCGCTTGGGCTAATGGAGTAACTCCACTAACTGAGTTTGTGGCAGGCTGTTGTGGTTGCTGGGACTGGCTGCTAGAGGGAGACCTACTTGCATGTACAAAGCCTGGGTATGACCTGGACTCCTCGCTGTCACAGGTTCAAATTCCAGCTGCAGCAACACAGCCTCGAATGGCATGGGGAAAGTATTCCTGCCTCCCCTGCACAGATCTGGCCCCATGCTGTGTGTACAGCTACTCCTCTGCTGGCCTTGGCTAGCACCATGCCCTCCTGGGTGCGGTGTATGCTGTGCAACTGGGCTCCACCCCGGAGATGGCTGTGTTTCAGTGGTGCTGTAGTTGGTGGGTAGGATTCAAGGAATTATGGCGAGGTAGGCTGTTAAAGGGCTGTATGCCCTGTCTGAACAGGGAGAAGGCTTCAGGGTATCTTTGGGAGCTGGGAAGGCACCTCCTGCTTTATATCCCTGTCCTGTGCGGCATATCAGACATCCTGCTTCATGCTGAGCTTGTCTGGACTGGTTTCCCATCAGCACCAGCCCTTAGGCAGCCAGAGGTTGCTATTGAGCTGAGTCATGTATCTCCCCAGCCAGAGAGGAAGGATGGCCCAGTGGTCATGGCACTGGCCTGGGACTTGGGAGCCCTGTGGTCAAGTCCTTGCTCTGCCACAAACTCCCCGTGTGACCTTGGGCAACTCCCTTAGCCTCAGGGCCTCAATCCCCAGCTGCCCAGCCGGGGTCAGAGCACTGCCATGCCCCCTGGGGGTGCATGAGGGTAAATGCATTAACCTGGAAGGTGCTCAGCGCCTGCCATCATGGGGCTCAAATCAGTAACTTACCTGAGTAAAAGGCACTTACAGCATGTCAGCTGCCCCCTGTTTCTGCCTTCCCACGGGCACGCCTGCCATTTTTGGAGTCTCTGCCTTTTCCCTGCTCCTCTTGCTGTGACCCATCTTTAAGGTGACCATATTTCCCAAAGGGAAAACAACACCCC